TAGTAAATACGGAAAAATGTCTTCAGGCATATTTTTAGCCACTTGAATCAATACATTTAAGCTCCATGACTTTGTGAGGTGCGTCTCAGACACCCTCTGTTCCCACCTCCTTCCACAGCCCCTCAGGCAGCTAAATGTCATCAATACACGCTGAGAGCCGGATCTCTACGTGCTATATGGGTCATGCTGCTTCTCCACTCCTGCTGGACACACCCCAGTTCTGTTGTCTCTCCTCTGTTCCACTGTTCCCAATCCATGTTTTCAAAGGCAGCCAGAACTACGTAGTGGTGCCTTATGCTGGAGTTAATACCATGGAAGTATTATTCTAAATGTCTCTAATACAAAACAATATCAAAAAGAGTAAACATCAATATTACTACAACAATCTCAGCACTAGCCTAGCACTTTTCTGCACAGCCTGGTTTGGACTGATGTCTAAGGAAAGCTCTTAGGGACTTTTACTCCATAATCTGCAGGATTCCATCCATCTACACTGATGGTTATAGTACTTCTGCTATAAAAATCATTGCAGTCTGCTTCACAAGAATCTGCACCTGTCCTGGCTCGTCTGCTGCCATCATTTTACCCTGGCGTTATTTCTCCTTCTCGCAGCTCCACCTCCCCTGCAGATCCCGCAGTACATATCTGTCCCCTTGTGGCCATACGCCTGACACAGCCCTGCTACTTCGTAGGATCCTCTAGGCTGACCAAAAAGTTTCAGCTCTCTCTCCCACCCACACAAGCATGGACTGACTGTCCCTGCTCTAGAAAAATGCTTAAAGGGGGTAGGAAGCATATAAAAGGCGCTGCAGTCTTACAAGAGAGATTCAGCTCTGTCTTGATGTCTGCTGAGTGCCAAACAGCGTGCAAAGTTCACACCCTGGCTAGAGATAAAGTGCAGGAGGAGGCTGCCAGGCCTGAGGGATGGAAAGTGGCAGCAGAGCAAAAGTGTTGACAGATTTCTCCAGCAAGCCTACACAACCCAATTGATGCTGGGGCTCCTTGCAAGATGCAGATGTGAAACCTTGCTGGATGAAGAACAGGGCTGACCACAGAGACTTTGCTGCAGTCAAGTGATCAGGGAAAGATCCAGGTGAGAAAGGTATTGTGAGCAACAATAAATTCAACAAAGCATGTAGAGACTAAGAAAAAAAAATGTCTTCAGATAAAGGTTGCTGCCAGTCATGTTTTTCTGCCAGCCCTTTAGAATGCCTGTTGGTTCACTGATGAGTCTCTGACCTCCTCTAAGGGCAAGAAGTCAGCCAGAGTGGCTGACCATATCAATTCATACCATTACTTTATAATTCATACTGCATATTTTTACATCGCTGCTGCAGTATGAAGGGTACACAGAGGAAATACTTTCAAATGCTCAGTGAAATAGTCTTAGTGCTAGAAATACTCTTACTGTTCCTTATTTCATGCCAGCTTAAGCCCAAGCCATCAATCAAAGCACAGTTTTCAGGCTGCAGGCACTCCCTGTTGGGAGCAGAAGTGACCCTTTGGTGTGCCCAGATTTACATTCCTGTTTGCAAGGCTCCCTCCGATGCTCTGCCACAGTCCCCAGAGCTGCCGTGGCTGTGCTCTTCCTCACTGTACAAAAACATGACCAGGAGGGGAAAGGGCTGAGTCAGCTCTGCTGGCATGTTGCTGCCAGCCCTGAGGAAGGTCTTCCAGCATTCCAGGGGTACCATCACATGTTTATTTTGTAATCAGAGCTCCCAGCATTTTGTGGGCAAGATTTTTTTTTTTCAGATTAAATTGCATCCATTGGCCTGTTTAAAAACAGTATTAATAGCAAATGGAATATTTTGTTTATAGCCAAGCACTCAACCTCCCCACCCAACATACTAGCATTCCTTAAAAAAACAAAAAAGAAACCCAAATAATTTCACAAAAATACCAAATTATAAAAAAAATTATAAAAGGTACACATAACCCGGGGCCAAAACCTATCCAGCCCAAAGTTTGGTGAGACTTCCTGCTGTCCACTCCCATCTCCAGCATTACCAGAAGCCATCTGACACTTGGATTCTCTACCTGGAACCTGTTTCGAGCCCACTGGCTCACACTTTGCAATCTTCTTTGTGTTGTGTTATCCAAAGTGTAAGCAGTCACAGGGGAAAAAACGAAATAACATATCTCAACAGTTTTATTTGTTCCCTTCTGAAAATAAGTGTTTTCATTGTCCCAGGAGTCATTAGCTGACTATAAAACTGACAGAAAAGTAAACTATTTTGTTCAAACACATTACTATGTTTCATAGATTTTTTTCTGACTCAGTTATTCCTCACTAATTATGAGTGCAATCTAATAAACTCATCTGTCTTCTAGCTTCCAGAGAAAGAAAAGTATTTCCATAGAGGATTCTTACTTGTTTCGACCAAAAAAAAAAAAAAAACCCACTGAAATCTTCCATTTGAAAAGGATTATCTTTGAACATTCTTTCCAGTTTCTATTCTGGCAAGCTATCATTTCTTTTTTTCAACATAGTTAACTAATTTAGGTTTGTATGTTTTAGTAATAAAAGAAACCCGTTTTCTCTAACTTCCTAGAGAATTTCACATTGTTTTGTTTTATACTTCACACTTTTTATTTTAGATGATCAAGAGAAAAGATCAGAACCTGTAGTCTTACAAAATATTTGTATTTCACATGAAAAATTTGGTAGAACACATTACTTTTTGTCTCAAAATGCACAGGATTCCTCATCTGCTATTTTTAAATTAAAATCTTTTATGACTTGAGTCATTCATATTTCCCCTCTCCTGCACCATTATAATGTGCAAAATAGTCCAGTAACAGAACATCTGTACAAAATTGTGCATGATGCATACATCCACTGAAAATGTGAAAAAGCAAGCAAACTGCTTTATACTGTTAAAATAAACTACAGAGCAACAGAAGTCAAAGGGTAATTTCATGTGATCTGTCTTGATGCATCTTAATTCTAATTTAGTAAAGTACTTGAATACTTTTACACTTAATTTCTTTGAGACATCATGATTCTACTACATCAATATTCTGATGCATGGTTTTGCTGTGCTGCAAATAGTGTATTATCAGTAATATGATGCATAGGCAAAAATTCAGTTCCATGTTCTTTAATTCACTAATAACACTATAACTAATTTTTCTCTCTCCTTTATGATTTTATTTTTATGGTGTCATAGCATGTTTCACTTTAATATCTACAATTGCAACATTTTAATTTGTTGAGTTTTGCCTTAACACTTAGTAAAGTTGGTTTCATTGGAGTTAGTTCAGCTGTTAGTTCATCTGTTATTTGGAGAAAAAAATGTAATTCTGTAGCTGTACTGTTCTGCAAGTTAACATCCACTACTTCTATTTCAGTATGTATTCTGTTGATAAATCAATAATTTGATATACTTTACCACAATAAAAGAGTAATTATGAACAGATAGTAAACTCTTAATCCCACACCTTTTTTAATACAGACAAAACTAGTAAAAATAACCTACAGGAAGAGGGGTATCTGCTGACACAACCTTAATACAAACTTGCAATGTCTGTCTCATGATGAATGCGTCTTGGTTTAAAAAAAGAAGAAAACATTTGAAAGATATGTTCAAAACATTCATAAGCCTCTTTTAATTATTCTCCAAAAAGTAAAACTTACTTCAATGCTGTATGGAGCAAGCCTTAAAAAAAAAATTGAAAGTCAGTTTTTCAGGACTTACTTAAATTATATAGGTCAAAAATCACCTGAACTTTGCTCAAATCATATTGCTTCTTATTTATTTATTTAATTATTTTCTTTGGCTAAATGGAGAAATATGTTAGTGCTCTTCCAAAAGTAAAGGAAATACAGGGACTATTAGTCAGATAATAGGCCACATTCCTTTGTGAACACGGTAAGCATTGATACTTCTGAAAATACAGATCCACTGGGCTAAAACAAAAAAAAAAAAAGGCATTAGAAAACCTTTATTCTTTCTTCTGGCTTAACATGCAAGCCACTAATCAAGCATTGCTGTGAACTTCATGTGAAAATCTGCCCCATTTGGAATTATTTAGATACCCATGCTGGTAGCCTCTGCGGAGCTGGAACCCCACTGCTGGTGCCAGGGCTGGTCACAAGGTGGCAGGGAACAAGGCCTTACTTTTTATTTGTCAGTCTCACAGACTATTTCTTAATGTTAGGAATGTATTAGGTTGAGTGGACCTGAATTTGTAATGTAATTTACTTATCTTTCAAAATATAATAAATCATGTTTTGTATTATATTTATTAATGTGGATGAAGAAAATGGGTTTTGTTCTTTAATAATAAATCAAAAAGAAGTGCCAATAAAACCAACAAAACACAAAGTGAAACTACTTGTATTATTTCACAAATAATTAGAAAATTATTGCATCCTTTTCCACCCTCTAAATCCCCAATCAACATATCATGCCTAAAAATTATATTTCATCCAGCCTTGAATGCTTCCAGGGATGGAGCATCCACAACTTCTCTGTGCAACCTGTGACTCACTACCCACACAAAAAATATTTTTTTTCTAATATCTAATCTAAACCTGCTCTCTTTCCATTTGAATTCATTCCCCCAAAACAATGTTACATTACAAAACAAAAAATTAAATTTATTTCAATCCAGTTAGCCACAGGAGCATAAGAATTTATGCAAGATTTATTTATTTCTGTCTTCTCAAATGACTGATTTTGTAAAAGCTTGAGTGTTTATTTCTTTATTTTACAGCAAGTCAATGAGAAAAAATTCTTCAGAAGCAAATGAAATAAAAACATGTTTTGAGTCCTCAGCTAGATACTGAAATTACCACTCTTACTTGAAAAAGTGTAATTTTTCTTAAAATAGTGTGTTCAGTGTTACTGAGTGGGTCATCTTTTGCTGAGATACTGTAGAAAGCCCACAAATGGTCAAGCCAAAAATAAGTAACTGAACTTTGTTGTTCTACACAACCATACAAAATGTATAATGGGAAGAGAAAACTAAAACCACAGAATCAAGTTTGAATGTGCTATTAAAACAGATTTATTGTCTATATTTCTTTTTAAAAAATCATGACATTTAACAACACTCAGAAAGCAGTTTTTACTACTAAGAGGTAGTTTTGTACACCTCATCACCACTTCTCTGAAAATAAACACTTTAGTAATTCAGCTATTTTCTGTAGTGAACAAGAATTCTAAAAGAATTTTTCATTAATTCAGAAGAATTGCCACTGTGGGTTAATTGCCCAAGGAATACAGCAGCTGGAAGCAAACTTTTCAAGACATCATGACCAAGGCCAACACTCAGTCTTACCAAATATATTTATATGAGGCACACGATGAGACTCAGAGAAAGCCTTTGCTGCAAAAATGAAATTTTTTGTTTTGCCATACGAGCAGACAGAAGAAACCAACAGAAGGGAAAAAATATATCTCTTGTTCCAAAATTGAGATAATCCTCTAACTTGCAGACCATTGTCTTGAAGATAAAGCTGTTATGCGTAAAAATCCAGAGATGCCCCAGGTGCCAAAAAAAACAGCAGCAAAACAACCCCTGCTTAATTTCATCCTTGTCACCTACAGGAAAAACACAAGGAATGCCACTGAAGCAGACAGACAGTAACTTCTCAAAACTGTGAGCTGACCTGGGGTGACCAAGGACTTCAACACCTCTGCACTGAAACTTGAGGGTATTGTTGATATCTTGCCTATCATATTCCTAACTGAAGTATTAAGCTGCCCAGGGATTTTCTGTTTGCCATCTCCAGGCTGTTGGCTTGACTCTACCCAGTCAGTCTCTCTGCTGAAGTTCTAAAAGTCGGCCCTGGTTGGTGTCTCTAGAATAGGGAAGAAAAATAGGGACCTGTTTTCTGTGGAGATCCAGCAGGTAAGGAAGCAAACAGGAAATTTAACTTTGTTCCAGTCAAGAAGCTGGATGTTTCTTTACTGCTCCTCCGGGGTCCTTGCCATGTCTTTGAGGCAGACACAGGGGAAGAAGTGGTGCTGGTGGGAGTGAATCAGCCCCTCAAGGCGTGTAATGATTTCATAGTCAGGAAGAGCCAGGCTGGCAATGTCGAGGCCCAGCATCCGCGAGACCACCTCTCGGAAATCTGCCAGCTGCAACAGCAAACAGAAGGGAATAAATCAAACAGGAAGCAAAGGAGATGTCAGGGAAAACATGTACACATAGGCATACATACAAACACAAGCACTTGTGTTATAAGTGCTAAATATAGACATATCAGCTGTTGCTAATACAGAGAGCAGTAGAGGACGGAAACAGCCCTTTGGGGCCTACATCAAATCACAAACCACAAACAGCTGAGATTTCAAGTATCTCAAACACAAAACAGTTCTCAAGTGTTTCTTCAGTATCTTTCACAGGCATGTCTTCCCTGCTAACTCATCTCCAAAAACTGAGGAAAACATACTTTTACTTGACCCAGATGACCAAAAACTATACAAACTTGAAACTCTGGTGGGCACTTCCCAGAGCAGAAGCTGTTGCTTGTCCTTGACCATTATCTGCCACCTCTCCCCTCCAGCCCGCATTTTCTTGAGAAAAAAGAAAGGAGGAAGTTGGAAGAAAGGTGGAAGTTTTTGGCATGTTCTGTGGTCTGACTTTGATTTGAATCAGGAAACAGCCCAAATTCAAGACGCAGCTTAAGAAAATGCTTGTTTTTCTTCTGTGCATAGCTGCTGAAAATGTCATAGGAATAGTATTTGGTAAAGTAATTAATTAAAGACACCAGCTTTCTCTCTGCAGTTCCAAATGGATAGACATCCACAAGTAGTTGTCATCACTGCTGATTTACTCTTCTCAACTCACAATATGTATCATTATCAGTCAAACTTCAAGGCCTCTTGAACAGACAATAAATTACACAGCCAAAATAACAAATGCCTTAATGCTCCTTATCATCAACACATAAAAGAGGAAAATCTTACTTTTTGAGGAAATATGCTTTTATTGCTCTCTATCTGAATGCCAAATATGCTTTTATTGCTCTCTATTTGAATCCCCATTCCCAAGCATAAAAGAGACTCAAAATTCCACAAAATCATCAGCGCCATTAGGAAACTGGACTCATGTTCTAATGTGGCAACATCCTCACTCCACCAATCATGCCAAGGGCTAAGGATATGGAGAAGATAGACAGTCCTGAAATGTCTCCAACCCCAAGAACTCTGTGCAGAATTCTAAAGCAGTCAAGTCTGTGAGGAAAGGGGTTGGCAGCTTTCCTGAAAACAAGGTCTCAGTTTCCAAGACTTTGCCAAAGGCAGTTTATTTCAAACCCTGAGGAGCTGCCATTGATTCAGAAATACAAATATGGAAACCAATACAAAACAGATCTGAGGTCTGGAGTCCTCAGGACAGACATGGAACCGTTAGAACAGTTCCCAAGGAGAGCTGCAGAGATGATCAGAGGGCTGAAGAACTTCTATGAAGAGGCTGAGAGAGCTGGGTTTGTTCAACCTGGAGAAAAGAAGGCTCCAGGGAGAACTTATAACAACAGCCTTCCAGGACATAATGGGAGGCTTATTAAAACAAAAAAACAAAAAAACAAAACAAAAAAAAAAAAAACCAAAAAAAAAAAAAGGAGAGCAACATTTTACACAAGCATATAGGGATAGGAAAAGGGAGAAGGGTTTTAAACAAAAAGACTTAGATTAGATATTAGGAAGAAGTTCTTTACTGGGAGGGTGGTGCGATACTGGAACAGGTTTGCCCAGGGAACTTGTGCTGTCCCATCCCTGGAAGTGTTCAAGGTCAGGCTGAATGGGATTTTGAACAATCTGGTCTAGTGGAAGGTGTCCCTGCCTGTGGGAGGTGTGTTGGAACTAGATTATCTTTAGGGTCCTTTCCAAGCCAACCCATTCCACGATTCTGTGATTTGAGAATTCAATCCCAGCTATCTGCATTACCAAGGCAGTGAGATGTCTTGGGTCAAATGCTGGAACAACACTACACCAAAACCCCAAAGTTCCCATATATTATATTCTACACTAGTTCAGGAGGTCATTGATGCAGGAGTCTGGCAGTGTGCTAGGCAAGTAGTATTTAGCAGAAGCTAAAGATTTTTTTTAAACATCTGGCTCACAGACAGGATAAGGAGGCAGCAAAGCTGGAATTTGTTTTCATACAGACTTTACACTGAAAGATCAAGGCAGCTCTCTGCAAAGATCCAGCCTTTGGCTGAAGGAGAGAAATAATAAAGACATCACTAAAGACTCAAACACAAAGGTATGCTGCAGACAACAACACTCCTGCTAAATATTCTTTTTTGCACCTTCCATTCAATGAGTAAAATTATCAGAATTAAAAAACAGGAAATAAATCCAACTTAGAGCATTAACCCAAGACATTGGGGTTTGAGGAAGTAAAAACCAGACGCTATACTTTATTTTCACACTGTAACTACAGGAGAGTAGAAGGGGTTTTAGTCCAACAGAAAAAGAACAAAAAGAAAAGTCCAAAGAATATTGCAAAATATTCAAGTGGCTTGAAACCCTTGGATTCAGACGGTAAAAAGCCAACATTTGTATTTGTGCTTTTAGCACAATATTCAATGTATGACTCCATGGAATAATTTCCTGCATATAATTAACATCTTCTTCTCTGTGACAGATGCTTTGTTTCCTCATGAGATGTATGAAGAAGTAAAATCTTCCTTTGAAATTTCCAACCTTTGTTATAAAACAAAACAGTGCTAAAGATTTCCAGGACAAAAAAATGCCCATGTTGTTGGTCTTCTCTTCATGTATATAAAAAAAAAAAAATTCTAGGTTAATTTTCTGAAATAGCATTCTTAAATTTCATCCAGAGTCATTGTTAAGGCCAACATATGCCATAAAATTTTTAGCTGGGAAATCTAATAAAGTTCTAGATGTTTTCTGTATTCTTCAGCATTCTTTGAATTTATGGCCTATACACAGTTACACAGTAACATAGCCTCGTTGAATCATTCAGGTTGGAAAAGACCTTTAAGATTATCAAGTCCAACTCCTAACCTGCATTGCCAAGTCCATTACTAAACCATGTCTAGGTGTCTTTTAAATACCTTTAGGACTGGTGACTTAACCACTCCCCTGGGCAACTTGTTCCTCTGTCTGATTACACCTTCAGTGAATAAATTTTGCTTAATGTCCAGTGTAAACTCCCTCCCCCACAGCACAACTTGAGGCTGCTTCCTTTCATCCTATCACTTAGTCTGGTTGCATCTCTTACAACTGGCAAGGAGAAAGTGCAAGAGACAGATGTGGGACAAACAAAAGGAAACAGATGAGAAGTTGGTAAGTTTTATACCTAAGATATTGGAAAAAGACATATCTTAAGAGAGATACTAGGATTTTACAGCATTTTAATACTTCTCTAAAAGGTGATGTAATATTTTGTGATGAAAAAAAGAAAATAATGCCTGTATTTATTCTTCTCTTGCAAAACTTAACTTGCAGAATAGCTTTGCAATTATAACTGTCACTGTGGCTCACAAGTGTGAGCTAAAATTTCCTTGTTTGATAATGTTTGGAACAGTTTAAAGCACAGCTGGGTAGCTGCTCCACTACACCATTTTCCTACACTCTAAGGGCTCTTGTCAAATACCTATACACCTACCTGTCTCTCTCTTTTTGCTAGTTCTGCAAGGGTTGTTTTAAGCACCTTCATTTCACTGGTGACTTCTTCTAACATATTTTTGGTTTTTTCTTTATCTTCAGTAGCTTTACGCTCTTTTAAAAGAAGTTCTGATTTGGCAGATCTAAGTTGTTTCTCAGCTTTTGCTTTCATTCTTTCCAATTTGTCTTGAGATTTACTGAGTTCCTCTATTATTCTGTTCTGCTCCAAAGTTTTGATCTGCAGTAAGATAAGGAAGTGTTAAATTTGCCATACTTTTTCATCTAACTTGAGTGAACAATAAAAATATCAGGAATGATCACGAATAAGCATTTTAGTGTGGTTTCTTTTGGGTTCTTCATTAAATCATCACACATACACGTGAACTGAAAATTTATTGAAGGATACTGGCCTATTTCAACAAAATTAACAAAAATATTTTTCCTTCAAAGAGAGTTATTTCTCCATAGGTTTTGTGAAAAGAAGTATCTGGACAGAAAAGAAAATCCACAGTGAGGGTTCACTCTCTTCCAGCCCCTGGAAAAATAGTACTAAAAAGAGTTGTCAAAGGTTTTGCTGGTAAAAATGGTTCAGTGGGAACATGTGCATAGTTGTATATTTCACTCCATCTGCCACAAGACACAAAGTCACATAAAATCAATCTTCCTTTCTCCTAGTGGTAGCAAGATATCAATGGCTGCAAACTACTACTTGTATTCACCTAAGAAAAATAAGGTAATTATTACTACTGCAATGTAATGAAACATAGAAACAATTAAAATAGGATCTTGCCTGTTATATTCCCCCCATACTAATCAGAATATATATTAATTGCTTCTGTAAGCAACTCATGGAAAAATACATGACAGTGATGCCAATAGGAAAGAAAGAGATGCATATATTATATTTTTTCCTATACTAGCCCGAAAATTTACGTTGGGCTTTGCAGGTGCTACTAGGCATAAAAAGACAAATTTTAAACTACCCAAGACATTGTAATATTATATTTGCTTTTGCCACCTAGATTTGAGCAGTTGTCCGTGAACACATTAAATGTAAATGAAGTCCAGCTGTTTACAACTGGAATAGAAAAATGGATAGAAGTATAAATGTAATCTTTTAACTCACCTTCAGTTCACTGGTTTCAGACAGCTTGGCTTTGAGATCAGTATTTGTTTCCCTTGCCAGATCAAGCTGCTTCTGTAGCCTTTCTATCATCTTATGTAACTTTCTGACAGTGAGATTGGCCTCATCCCTTTCCACAGCTAAGGCAGCCCTTACTTGCTTCTCTTCTTCCAGCTGGGTTATTTTCTGACGCAGAAGGTTCATGTGTAGCTCTTTGCTTTCAAGCTTTTCTTTCTGAGCTTTCAACTTGATTTCCAGACACAAGGACATTTGAAAAAATAAATGTGAGAGACCATGGTACTACATAGTCACAAATTTAATCCTCATGTTGCATTTATAACCTGAACTCCTTTTCATCTCTTGAAAATTTTGTGAAGAAGTATCAACATATATACACTAACTTGATATTCCTTGTATTACCAATTTATTGTGCTTCTCTATCGTTTTAAACCTTAAACAGACCCAATTCCCAGCTCTATACCAGTCTGACAAGCCTAAACCCAAAAGTTTTCCCTATGTCAGAACAGGATGACAGAGGGCTGCTTGACCAAATTTGAACAGACATGTTCCTGTAGGAACATCTGAATGAAAGAACAGTTCTTGTTGGAAATGTTGCAATTCTAGGTGAGGTGCAACCAAGACCCTACTGGTTTCTAGACAAGTTTGTGTAATGTAGCTCCCTCCTTGGTAGATCACTTTAGATTTAAATATTAATGGCAGTTGTTTACAGAACTATAAATGTGTATTAAAAAGTGGACAAATATACAGATAAACATCCATAACTTCATCGTTTTTTCTTAAGTTGTGAAAAGCAGTATCATGTTCAACCAACTGGTGGGTTTATTATTTCAATATGCAGCCTTTTTGCACAGTTTGCAAACATTCACTATCTTCTGTTTATGTCATGGATATCTTTGAAATTCCTTGCACGTATACACTCTGCTGCCTCTAGCAAGCCACTACATAAACATAGCCATATGTTTAAATTTGAATGGTATATCTTTTTTGTATACCTTCCTTCTGAGTCTGTATGCCACAGTCTTGTTCTCAACCACTGCATCCCCTTCCAGTTTCACCAACTGCTCTACCCGGGCCAGAATCACATCCATAGTCATATCAAATCCAACTTCTGCTGCTAGACTATCCAGCTTCATCTTCTCATTAAGCTGCTCCAGAAATTTCAGATACTAAGATGTGGGAAAGTGAGCAGAAGAATAATAAAATTTCATTAAAAGTCATTAAGTACACTTTAAAAGCAATTCCACGTATAGAGGCAGCCATCTATATGTACAAGTACACTACAAGAAATAATACACCAAAGAGGTGCAATTGGGCACACTCCTGACAAAACTGCAAATTCTCCCTATGTCCTTTTTTAGTCAACACTTACTTTATTTCCTCTTACTTCTGGTGCAAATCATTATATTTGCAAAGAACCAACAAAATAAATAAAAATTTTTTAAAAAATTTAAAAAAAAAAAAAACACGAACAAACCACTTTCACCATTTGTTCATTACAACATTACCACTGGTTTTGCTTTATGATATTTCTGATTCAAAAAAATTTAAAACAGCGGCAGAAGAGGAAAGCACTGCAGTTATTCATTGACAGAAAAAAAATCGCAAAAAAGATTTCTTCATTGCAGTAAAATCTAGATAATAACTTAAGAATCTAGGGGGCCACATGTTATTCACAGAGGAAGAAAAGCAGAAGAAACAGCTCCTTTTTCTGATTCTCTCCCAGTGTGATGGATGCTTCATTCAAAAAAGTCATTTTATCATAGTCTAAGGCAAAACAAATAGCGCAAAACTGTTGATTCCTCTAAGCATTAATCCTGGCCTGGCAACATGCTGCAACTTTGCTTTTTGTAGGTGTAGTGTTTGGCTTTCCAGGTACTATGTCATTTTTCAAACTCTTTGGTACATGAATGAGTTACAGGCTAACAGTGTGTTCATTCAAACAATTAGACAAAAGAAACCTAGTAGTCATGATTGTCTAATATAAAAGAATCAAAGACTACAAGATCTTGAGAAATTGCAGACCAGATAATTTTTTAGAGAAAGACATAGAGATGAGAGAAATTTTAAGATCAGAGAATAATTGAAGGACTTCTGATGGGGTATTGACAGGAACTTCTTTTAAGCTTTTTAAACTGGTTTTGGCATGTGGCTTGGGTTTAGGGGTTTTTTTCACTAGGTGGATTTTTGGGGGTGGGGGTTTTTTGTTTGTTTAGTTTCACAGTAATGGACTTGGAACTCAAAAGCTTAGCTACATCTTCCAACTGCAATTGTTGGTCAGAGAAAAGGTATCATTACTCCCTACATGACGTCTGACTCTGCTATTTCACATTACTCGCAGTGCTCCAGTAGACCAATGCAATACAATGAGCTGTGTCTCTGCCTTTAGTGACTTCTATTCAAAAGTAAATAATGTGTGCAACTACTTTTTGTTTCTCAAGCTTCAAACCATCCTGCATCAGGTCTCCAGTTAATATTTCCTCTTCCAAGTGCTTCAGTTGATCATGGAAATTCTCAGAACATTTTTCAGCTTTCCTGCTCCTGTCTAGGGCTTCATGGTACAATCTGGTCTGGTTTTCCAAAGCTTTAGTCAATTTAGCTATTTGTGTTTCAAGCTGAGATACCATCTAGGGAGCAAGCAAACCAACAAAGCATATGGGGTTACGTGGGAAATGTGAGAAAGATATGAATGACAAATCAACAAATTATTAAAAATAGGGCAATATATCTATCTTTAAAATATATGCATTTAAAAAGTCAAAAAGAAAAATCTGTAACCACCAGCAAAAAATTGCAGAAGTGGAGACACACAAAAGTGAACAGCAGATATTATAAATAAGTCAAATGACTAAAAAGTATGGTTATATATTAAAAAAACAATTCAGATATTTTGTATGGATACAAAGTAATTCAGACAGAAAATTTCCAAAGATGTGGGCACAGCAGCAATACCTGGCAGTCAGCTATCATTCCTTGAAATAAGCCAAAGAAATCACTATTCTATTGAGGAGTTGATTAGAAAAAGCATGTAAGTTATTTATAAAATACATGCAGCATGTAGGGGAGAATGTAGATATGGATAATTAAGTCTCAGAGGAGTGTTTCCCAACTGGTAACTGTTAAGCAGTGTTCAAAAGATTGTCCTTTAAAAAATATTAGTAATAATTATTTCTGTAATCTAACCAGAGCCCAAGGATAAAATGATAAAATCTCAAAACAAGCAGCTAGAAAAATTTTGAAAAAAATTTATAATTCTCTCTTAACTTTACAACACCTGCACATAATGTAATGGATTTTAAGTTGTAAACTATTTATAAATTAAATGCTTTAAAGTATATGGTTATACGACTGCCAAATACTGAAAGGCAGTACTATACACTAAGTTGCTTGTTTCCCTCTGTATTCTTCTTACTGTCATATAATTATTTGGTCGCATAGTTAACTACAGTGCATTTGAAACTCAGTGTTCAGACACTCATCTCCAAGCAACGTCTTAATTTTAAGCATCTTGTTGGTTCCTGTTAGTAAAATTAACAGTAAGTACATGTAGCTCTCATTAATTTTAATGGCACTTTAACTTTAATGGCAATTTTAAAGGTTTCCAACTCAAACTGCAATTAAATACAGTTTGCCCATAACTTGCTTAAAAACACTGAGAAATTGCTGATGCTCAGGCAGTAGACAACACTAAACAATAATAAATCTGCAAGAACCCACAAACATATTTTATGCTGTTTTTCATTCACATCACCCACCAGGAACAAGAATTTCAGTAACTTGGTCCCCCACAGATGTGCTACTGCCAGGGAATCTAGAGCCCTTTTATCAGGCTGCAGAGGGGTTTTCCATGCTTCAAAGATGCATAAACATGAGAAAGTTAAGGACTATACCACAGAAGCAGAGCAGAAGCTGTCATTTTATCATCCTGGGGCATCCTGGTGTATCCCATCCTTGGCTTAGGGACAGCCCACAAGGTAGGCATTTCCTAAAGCGATGTTGCAGCCTTTTTACCTACCCATGCCTAATCCATCATCTTATAAAGGCTGCATTTTTGGTCCTCCAGTTCTGACCTCCACAAATTCTCATTCCTATGACTAATGCAGCTTGATCAGTCAACCTGCAAAATAAAAACCCCTTTCCTGCTTTTTGTTTTAATGTGGCTACTAGATAATTTCAGATTACAGCCATTTTACATGTGACACAAAGCAGGGTCTGAGTGTGAATCTGCAGGAGGGTAGCAGAGCTCTGCAGAGATCTCTGTAGGCTGGATCAATGGGCTGATGCCAATGTATGAAGTTGAACAAAGCAAAGTGCCAGTTCCAAGTACCAGGTCCTACCCTCGAGTCACAACATTCCTGTAGGCTGGGCAGAGTGGCTGGAAAGTTGTGTGGTGGAAAAGGATGTGTGGGTGCTGGTCAACAGTTGGCTGAAACTGAGCCAACAATGTGCCCAGGTAGGCAAGAAGACCAATGGCACAGGTTTTGGTTTTGGTTTTCTTTAAGTACTTCACCAAAATACACAGAATATTTTCAAGAACTATTTCCAGCCTTGGACAGAATACAAAACCATTTGCTGTCATTAAAAACTATCACATCAGCAGGAGATGTTAGAATTTCAAAATCTGGCAAGAATATTAGAGCTGGTTTTCAGTGGCTCACTGAAAGCAGCTTTGGATTTAGTATGTGACTTTTAATTATATAAAATTATATAAATAGTTCTCACTGTCAAAGTTAATAAATTGTAAGCAAGCAAGTGAGAAACTTCAGTGCAGTGTCAAGATACTGACATTGGTCATGCTGCATTCTGATTCACCTTTCTCTTGAGCTGTCCCTTCTCTATCTATACATTCAAACACACCTTTGCAAACCACCAGCCCAAATGCCTCAAGCCACAGCCTTCATTTTACCTTCTTTGGATGCTGAATAATATTTAGCTGTAAGTGTAAAAACACATATTTATTTTTAGGTGCAGGTTTTGAGGATTGGAGAGAAAGAAGTTGCCTATGGCAACTCACCAATTATATTTGCTTTGAGAAAGAAGTCAGTTCTTGAAGTCACCATTGTAGCAGCAAATCCCTACTTGTTCACAGGTTTTACTAAATCATAGCAACCAGCCACCTTTGATGTCTGCTGGCACAGAAACCAAATTTCAATGTTTTAACTGAAAGACCATTCCAAGTCTTTTATTATTAACATCATTTATTATTAATTTAATTTCTGAACTCTTCCTGCTTAGTAAAACATAGATGCTTTTCCCCTATTACCTTAAATCTATAGGCAACGAAATTAAAGGTTTCTGTAATTTCAAAACCTAAGCAGAAAGAAGCAACACTCTATCAGATGAATAAAATTAAACAGAAACCAAAGAGAATAAATACACACATTGGGCAAGTGCGATAGTGGCTGACTTACTATTTCTTTATTCTCCTCTTTGCAATTTATTTCTTGGATCCTCTCCAAAATGGCCTTCTCAGAAGGTTTACCTATTGCAGATCTACAGCTGAGCAGGGTAGCAATTTCTTCTTTAAAAGCTTCTAAAGAGCTCTGAGCAGCCCTGGCCTCTTCTCTGCTACTCTTCAAGTTTGCATCTAACTCACTGGAAGATTTCTTCAGATTGTGCAGCTCTTGCTTTGAGATGTCCAAAGCTTTCTGGTTAAGAGTCAGTCTCTCTTGGAGGGTTCTGATTTCCATCTCTAAACTCTGCCTCTTTATTATAGCACTGTCAAGATCCTAAAGTGCATTAAAAAATTAAACAAGATTTTTAAAATCAGTTAGAAACCCTCTCCACAACACACAAATTAAGGAATCTTAACTCAGGAGCAGGTACTGCAGACAGAGAAACTACAACCCATATTCTTATTTACTCAGCATCAGGGTCTCATAGGGGAACTGCCACTGAAATTGATGAAAACCTGAAGTCTGCTGTAATCACACTGAAACCTAACCTCTTATATTGGTTTGTAAAAAGGAATACATAAATAAAATTTCCAGGTGAATGAAACCAAATTTTTTATTGTAAAACTATTGAAATCTTACTTTTTCCATCCAGATAATATGGCCTGAAAAAGAAGCAGTGAAAAAGATGTATCACAAATAAAGTCAAAGTAACTACAACTGAGAGGGAAAGGGTAGGTTAGAATAGAATATTTCAGTTGGAAGGGCGCTACAGTGATGATCAACTCCAACTGCCTGACAATTCAGAGCTGACCAAAACTATAGACATAATATCCCTGAATATGGTGGTAAGAGGTGATCTCTGTGATCAGTTTATCTGAATGCAACAAAGATTCCTGAGATTATTCACAGAAATGAGAAGTGAGGAACCAGACAAATCAAGGCATGGTTGGGAAAGAATAAAATATAGCCAATACATATGCGTCTATATCAGTTATATATAAATATTGACATAATTGGTCAGAGCAGACAGAGAGAATTGTGCATCCTGACCCATGACACCAAAACAAATCATGACAGAAAAAAAAAAAAAAACCACCTAAACATAAAGTATTGTGTGTCTCTCCTTTCCCAACAATACCAATATTAAGAGTGCTTACGCATACATATACAAGAAAAATATTTGCAGCAAGACCAATTAAAAGTACAGCAAAGACTAGGTCTTCATTTCTCAGGCCATTTTCTGATTGGTAAGAACAAACAGGAAAGAATATTATTTCACACATGACACAAAAGGAAAGAATAATATTTTACCCATGACACAAAATTACTACAGAGGATTGGATTTTTCTGGAGGTCTCAGTGGTAAGTAGAAGCTCAGTAAGTGGACTGATATGAGTTAAGATTGTGCACACTGGAGTTAAAGAACTGTTCCTGGAGCAGTTATGAATGTCATGGTTACTCAAGGGCCTCTCTGGGTCTGCATGTGCTTGCAGTGGAGCATAGGATGTAATTTGTATTAATGTAATACCTGCCAATCAAGCAGTTAAATCTGGGAGCATTTCTGTAGATCAGCAGGGAGGGTGGCCAAAAATAAGGAGTTTGGAGAGCACTTTTAGAAAATAAAATATAAAAATATGATACTAAAAATACTAAAATTTTTAATAGCTACAGAAAGGCAAACATGCAAAGACATAAATAAAAACAACCCCTGTTATTTAGGAAATTATTTGTTATTACACATTTCTCAAGTAATTTTAGAATTGTTTTAGAAACAAATGTTGGCCTGATTCCTTGCCAATTTCTCTTTTTTATTCTAGACAAGTCCTATTAATACAAAATTCCCACCTGCACTCAGAACTACATTATGGTAATTACAGCAAAGAATAAAGAGTCATTTACTTCAATTACAGTTTTCAGCAGTGTGTATTTTTCCTTTCAGAAAGGCAGTGCTAAAATGGTTTGCCAGTACCAGGGAGCTTACCTAATCACCATCTTGTAAAATTGTGAACATCTGAAAACAAACATAGTTTATTAAAACATCAAGGTCTAAAATTAAGAAGTACAAGCCACCAAACAGTGGCTGGGAAACTGCCTGGCATCAAAGCACCTGGGGGTGCTGGTGACAGCAGCTGAGCATGAGCCAGCTGTGCCCAGATAGCCAAGAAGGCCAATGGCATCCTGGCCTGGATCAGCAATGGTGTGGCCAGCAGGAGCAGGGCAGGGACTGTCCCTCTGTACTCAGCACTGGTGAGGCTGTGCCTCGAATCCTGTGAACAGTTCTGGGCCCCTCACTACAGGGAGGACATTGAGGGGCTGGAGCGTGTCCAGAGAAGGGCAATGGAGCTGGGGAAGGGTCTGGAGCACAAGTCTGATGAGGAGGATCTGGAGGAGCTGGGAGTGTTTAGACTGGAGGAGGCTTAAGGGAGACCTTATCACTCTCTACAGCTGCCTGAAAGGAGGCTGGAGCCAGGTAGGGGTCGACTTCTTCTCCCAGTTAAGAAGCATAGGAAATGGCCTTGAATTGTGGCAAGGGAGGCTTAGATTGGACATTATAATATTATGAAATATTAGGAAATTAGGACTATAACTAGGAAAATATTCCTCATCAAAAGGGCTGTGAAGTACTGGAACAGGCTGCCCAGGGGTGGTGGAGTCACCAGCTCTGGATATATACTTAGGGATATACAGGATATTACGATACAGGATACTGTATACAGGATACTTAGAGACATGGTTTAATGGCAGGTTTGGCAGTGCTGGGTAAACAGTTGGTCTCCACGAACTTACAGATCTTTTCCAGTCTAAATTCCATTATTTTATTAATACTGACACCCCAATCAGCAGCATGCTCTCAATAGACTAAAGTCAACTACATATACATATACAAAAAAGACCCCACATTACATTAACAGTAATAATAAGGTATTAAAAGAATGCAGGTGTTATCTAGATCAATTCTTACACCAGCTGCACCTCCAGTTACTACTGTTATACCATAAGGCTTGTAAGCTAGTTTGCTCTTATCTCCTGTCTCCTCAAATGATTCAATCTGGAAATATCTGTGATGCCTGCTGAAACCTGTCTCTAATATGTATTTTCTTAATGGCATCTTATAAACAAAAATGAAAAACAAAAAATCCAGGTTCTGAGAAATTTCCTGTATTTATCTGTTGGTACAAGAAAAACCTAAAATCATTTGACTGTCTCTCCTACAATCTAAATATTTGGGTGTATTCAAAATGTAGCCATGTTTCTCAAGTTCAATCAAATGCCTTAAATAAAGTTTTCATATTTTAATTAACTCTTTTCACAAAATGTATTTATTTTACTATGTTTATATTAATTAGAAACTACTTAGATCTATTTTGTTCATTAACATAAAAATATAAGCAAATATTGAATACTGAAGAGTATTTTATTGGTTAATTTTTCATCAGTAGTAAATGCAGATGTATTTGTATTAATTAAAATTGCTTGTGTACATTCCAAGTATGTTCTTTAAAGATTTTGCACAGTACACATCTTTGCAAAACAAATGTTTAAAATAACACTTCAGAGGGAAATCACAAATATTTCCAGGTTGAACCATCAGCAAAGATGTGAAACAGAACAAGACAGTTTAGTACTTCTTGTGGTTCATCTGTGACAATGCTGTATTTTAATTAATGCAGAAGCATATATGCATTGTCTTCTATGTCTTAGTTAAATACCATACAGGAATTTATTAAATATAAAAAAGAAATTTGGTTAGAGTAAGTAAGACATCTTAGAGGACCTACAGACACTCTCAAATAATGTTGTCATTCTCTAATTATGATTATCATAATCAATAATCACTCTCTGAAAATACAGAAAGAAAGCTTAGGTATTCTGATTCTCAGTCTAAAAATCTAGGCAGGATTTAAATGGTGTTTTTTATCAAATGCAAATTTGATATCCAATGTAGCCATAATAAATGTATGCACAATATTTACAGATTTCTAGAAGCAAAATCTTGCAATATTCTATCAGAAACATGAGAAATTCAGAAATAAATAGAAGAACACATTCAGAAATAAATAAAAATAATAAATTAGGGAAAAAAGAGCTTCTTGAATTGCTTTTTTTTTTACTTTTATTAGTCTCAGGAATTATTGGCTTTTATTCTTTGCTCCTTGATATCATCATGCAGTGAGACTGAAAGGGGATCAGATAAAATGATTGTTTACTTGTTAATGTTCCTCAAACTGCAACAAATACTCAAGTATCAAACATGCTAAAGAATATTTTAAATATATTAACCTTAAAATTAAGTTAACTGACTTTCATTTTATTCAGTAAGAATTTTTGAATACAGGAAGCTACTTCCTCCCGGGACATTAAAAAAAAAGCACCTGATCAAGAGAAGAAATTCCTAGAATTCCTAAGCAATGGGAGTGGAGAACTACCTGGCAGTTAAAACAGGCAATTAAAAAAAATTCAGAGGGGTAGCAGGGAACAATGTGGTGGCCCAATCTTGGTGGAAATGACTGACAGAACAATGTGATGGTCTCTATACACTTAGGAAGAATTTAAAGAGAAAATTGGGGGAAATGGGCTGCCATCTCCATCTGAAGATGGCCAAAATATTTGGCCCTGAGAGCTGTTGGCACAGGCAGGCAAGAGTCACTTGCTGGGTAAATTCAGCTACAGGCAATTCCATTAAGTCCAGAAAACAGCCCAGAAACACACAGCCAAGTATGAGTCTTCTGGCACAGGAGGAGTATGGATTTCTGCTTCTCACCTTGACAGAGGAACATGTCACAACACATTCAGCTCCGTTCATGGGCTTACACTGTGCAGTATGAAGTACATGGTGAAGTCAGACTGACTTCTGCCACTGGGGCCCCTCCTGTAACCGAGCCAGACACCCATCAAGGGAACAGGGGATTCCACACTTCACACTTTACATGTGAGGACTTAAAGCATTTTTTGTTTTTTACTTTCTTTTTCAATACTGAACTACTTCCTACTCCTTTGTGAACACAAAACCTTCTCAACAAATTTACTCAGTGTCTGCAAATGTAAGTTGCTAAACTGAAATTGCACTGGAGGAATCTGCAGCCTCTATGCAGATGGGGTTTTTCAAAGGCAATGCTTTTGAAAGGCAATGCCAATAATTTAGAAAAATATTTCTCTAAAATTGGTTAAATAAATTATCTATTTGGCCCATGCAAAATAATGATAGGAAAATATTTTTCAGAAAATAGCTCAGCTTGGTAAATGTTTTGGCAGTCAGAGCAATCTTGAAAAACAAGTGACAAATGGAGCCCTGATCTTGGTTTAAAACATCTCCTGATTCTGACTTACTGAGAAAACTACACTCTGTTCTTCCTCACACACCTGTGTTTGAAGTGAAGCATGAAAACAAAATGTTCTCAAAAAGAAGCGGTTTAAGTTTTTGGTGCAGGCTCTCTCAGTTCCAGTGAGTCTTAAAAATTGTACACAGCTTGGTAAGAATTATTTTCAGCAGTAAGAAAAATTTATTACCCTTGTGGTACTTAAATTTATCTTCCCCACAAATTCTTTCTTTTCCTGAGCAGGCTGCCAGCTATTTCTCATCTCCTAAGTATTTTGCTTACAACCAAATCAGAACACTATATCCTTTAAAGTGTATGGTGGGTGTCTCTTCTTCAGGAAAAGAGGAATGCCAGAGATGGGGAAAATGCTGTATTACTTTGGAAAACTCACTTGCACAAGGTTGTCTTTATGTTCAAAATTCCTACAAATTCAATCACACACCACTCAGCTACCTATTTGGCAGTCTAAGTTTCTTATTTTCTCACGTTCTGGCCATCAGCTTTAACTGCCCTGTTTCACCTGCACGAAATCTTCATTCTGGCTTCATTAAACTGCTTCCTTTCCATAGACATGACTCAAAGTGTAAAGCAAAAAGGAAAATTGCTACAGAAACGCACTTTGCTCATCCATCCTTTGAAATATACAGTCTCTTAATGGGGAGTTCTCCTGGAGCAATTCAATCCTTTAATCACATCCATTTCCTTCACAAATCATAGCTAGGTGAATTTGAACTACTTGACTTACAACTTAACTTGCATTTCTCATTTGGCCATCCTTCCTGGTACACAGATTTCCTCTAAGGCTTCCCAACAGTGAAACTTCTTGCTTTCCTGCAAGAGCCATCCTATTGCTACAACTTTTGGGCTATGAGTCAATTATTATGAAATACAAATTTATAATGCAGTGAAAAGATAATCTAGCATGTATGGAAGCCAAGACACTTAACCTGCCAATGATTTAAGAGAAAAAATAGAGTCCAATCAATTCCTTTCAATTTCTCATTAGAATTTTTTTAAAACTGAGTCAAAAAGTTCTCAGAAAACTTGCAGTATCAAATAAATATTATTTTAGAAAGCATTTTTTCACTACTTTATACTTGTGCCTCAGAAATTAACAATATACACATTCATTTATTTACATGTTTGTGCAAGCACAGAGGTTACAACACTAAGAAGAAAGCAAAACCAGAAATTTGCAAACAACATTGAAAGCCATCAAATCTACCTCAGATCTATTTTACAAAATGTTATTGTTTAATCTTCATATCTCACTTTCAAAAAGTTGAAAATAACCTTAGAAAAATGTCCGTTTTAGGAAGGACCCTAATCAACAATTTTTTTCAGAAACATTTTTTTTCATGCAATTCCTATTGAAAATTAATTTGAAATTTCAAGAAAACATTTGAAAACCAGACAAGCATACAAGCCATGCAATTATGTACCTTGCTAAGTTTATCCATGTCTTGGTAATATCCTGCTGCCTTTTTTTGCTCCTTGGCCACTTCTGAAACTAGTCTCATGATAGTTTCTCTGTTAGCTTTAGACTCCATCTCATGGACATTCACAGCTTCTTGAAGAGCAGCAATCTGGTCTTTTAGTGTCACATTTTCTTTGCATATTTCAGAGACCTTGAGAAATAAATCAAATATTAGTAGCTTCTTAAAAGCTCTTAAAAATTAAAAATATTCATCCCAGTTATACCTGCTCCTAATCATGCCAACAAGGACTCGGTGTTTCTGACCCCTAGGTCAGACTTAAAATTGCACTCTACTGCTCCTTTAGAAAAAGAGTAGAAAGACAGTTAAAATCATAGAATTATATTCTCACTATAAACCCCCACCTTAGCATAATGTGATACAGATTTACTTCCACACAGACTTTATGATCTATTAAACAAGTGGAGAGCTACTGCTGCTGCATATCCATGCTTGACGGGAGGCAGGTCAGAAAAGAGACCAAGCAGCTCCTTCATGTGAAAAGCAAACCCTTCCTGCCTGGCTTGGTAGGATGTATGCCTTTCATTTGGAACAAGAAAGCTGCAATTCATGCTCAAAACTTTTTAAGCACCAGAGGTTTGAGTTAGTAACAGATATTTCATAAGCACATTCAAGGACAGGGCCAAATACCTGGTGTGCTGCCATTATGAACAGCCAACTCCTTGGAAAAAGGAGTCTTTTCCAGGAGGATTCTAGGGCTGTTTGGGTATGCTATGATACTTCCAATCAGTGGAATAGATGAATGGGTGCACTTCAAAGAGTGAGCAAAAAATTTACCCTGATTCCTACTGGCAAGACATTTGTTAAGAATAAAACAAATCAATTCTGTCTTAAATAAAACCATAATGTGGAAAAGAAACTAAATAGATGTGCCAAGACCTCAGAAAAACTAGTTGCTAAGGTTTCCTGAGGCACAGCTTTCAGCACAAATTAGATTTCCCAACTAGATTTATTACTACACTGTTAAAAGACATGCAAATATGTTTTTTTTAATCTCTCATTATTAACTTATTAATTATTAAAGCATGCAAAAGTACATCTTGTGTGACGTTCCTTAGAGCATCCATTAAAATTTCAATGTGTTTGCAATATTATGTAATATTATGAGGGCGTACACTCACTGTGATACATACCTAGATAATCTTGATTTATTACAACTGTAATCCTACAATGACATGAACATAATGAAATAAAATTTCCCCAAATATCTATTGTGCTCCAAAGTGAAGAAAAACAGAGATCAAAGAGTGGACAGAAGACGTATCAAATGCATAAAATTAGAATAAAATTACTTTCAGAAGCATTGATAGATGCTAAAAGAATATACAAACAACTTTCTTTTCCTAAATGAAAGCTTAGTTTTTGGAATTTCAGAAGCATTATGAAGAGAAATTATAAATTTTTATTATTAAGTCTCAGAAACACCACAAAGTTATTTACAGCATTTTATTGTAAGGACACAGTAAGGGGTGTTTTGGGGATGCCACTTCAGGTGTTTTTATTTAATGGTATGTCAGCTCAAGATAAGAGATAAGCTCTAGTGCTACAGTTTACACATCACCTTTTGGCCCCCACATTAATGTTTTAAGGAAAGATTATAACCAATATTTAATCAAGGCTGTATGTGAGAACTACAGGCTGAACAATTATTTATGCAGATAAGAGCAGACTTAGTTCACTGGGACATATTAGTCTTCAGCACCTTTAAATATTAGCCCAGTACAAAAAAAAAAATCTGCCTTTAGATGATAGCACTGTCTGCAAGCCATAATTAAATACAAGGATCTCTATCTCTATTATTTGCTTTACTTCTGTGACAACTAAATATTTTTCTATTAAATCACTGCAGAGAAATACTTCCCAACACAATCACCTTTGATGGTAAATGTTCTTGTGGTTTCTCTTTTTCTCTGATGTCTACGTCCAAGAATCCAGAAAGATGTGTAAGGAGCTCTTCATAGTTTTTGCTGATTTTAGAAGCTTGAGTCATGTTTTCTTCATATTCATTCAAATATTTACTAATCAGACAGAAAAGAAATATACCCATCAGGATGAATGTTTCCTGAAAAAAAAAATCCAAGCAAAATTCATTGCCCCAAGACTATTGCTAGCTTCTGCATACCACCAAATGAATTTTTAAAATTACATTTATTTCTCTGTATCTTTTGTTAATACATATAAATTTTGCTGTTGCCTCATTTGTAAGCATTTCTTCATCATTGTTTTTCATTAACACTTTAAAAATCTTCTATCATCCCAATCTCATTCTCAGCACAAAATCTGAATAAAACACAAGAACCAAGTGATACGAATAAACAGTGCCCTCAAGATACTACAAGTAGAAAATGCAAGCAAAAGCTTAGAAAATAAGTGGGGGGAGGGAGGGGGAGAGAGTGATCAACTCTGAGCAAAAATATGTGAAAAGCATTTCACATCCCCTCTCTCTAAAGAAGCTGACGGAGATGATTAACAAACTTCAAGTAAAGAGAAGTCTTTCTGGAGCAATGGAAGTGCAAGACATCCAGAGTATCCATGAAGGGAAGTTTACCAGCAGAAGCAGACATGGGAGACACCACTTTCTTGTACAGTACACTGAAGTACTACTCATAAAAGGGATGCATTTAAAAAGACAGCAACTAGGGGCTACCACAAAGATATTAAGAAAGTGGAGCTTTTTGCCAGCAATTTCATCACAATTTTGCCATAAATTTCACTCAACAGGTGCCTTTCATATCCCACATAGAATGTGTTCTCAGACTTAAGAGCAGGTGTCAGTTTGTAAATACTCTACAAGAACAACCAACCAAATAAATTGAGTTTAACTCATTAGTATAAATGTGGTTACTTTCCTTCCCTTGCCAGGGACAAGATGGATCCCTCAATGGGTCCAGCAAACAAGAACCACCACAATCTGATTCAGTAGGAAACACAGAAAAAAATGATGCTGAAATACACATTTCTTGTGAAAAGCTACAAACAAACAGGTTAGCAAAACCAGCCAACCAAACAGAGCTCAAAATAACCACTAGTGTAATCCAAATGTCAACTCCAATACCTCTCAGGAACACCCATGAGTGAGGTACTTTGTGGTAGAGTGCAAGACATAGTAGATTGGTAGTGGTAAATTTACAAGACAAGATTCCATTTGAAAAACAAGGTTCTTTCTAAAACAAGTTCTTCACTCTAGAATAAATCAAGATCTGAGATGGAACCAAAGGCATGTCTAGAGCAAATATTTTATTGAAACTCATTTGCTTATCAGAGTGTAGCACTGTTCTCAGTTTTTAAGGCAGACCCAGTAGTCATTGCTGGGCAGACATTCTTTTCCATGTCTGATTTCTTCCTCTCCCAGCTGGCAATCAAACAGAGCATCATTCCATAACTGAAGAGCCACACAAGACTCCAATAGGAGATGCACAGTGAGTGCAAACACAGTACATTGCATAAAATGTTTATAAATCAGTAAGCAAAACAGACAGCCCATGAAAATATTTAGCAAATAACCTTAGGAAGGAGATCAGCACAGCTGCTGAAAATGCTGCAAAGTGAAAGAGAGTGGCAGAATAACTGAGAGGAATGGAAAACATTAATTACTGCTCTGGACACAGTGCAGGCAGTTCCAGATAGTACTGCGCAGCACACACCATAAGCCAAAAGAGCTCTGCCTTCTGCAGCAGACAGAACACAAGCACCTTCACAGCTTCCTCACCTCTGGGCACCTTACTTTCCCCTGTAGCCCCAACAAAACTAAACCATGAGATGATTGCTAAACTGTTTCTTGTGAGGGGGGATATATCAGAAGTAAAAAGGTATTAGGCTCAGACATGCCATATATGCATGCCTATATGTCAGAATATTATAGAAGATTGACCACCCACCACTGTTCTGTGGCTCTAAAATCTGAGGCATCCACTAACAAATCCATGCCTGCGGCTAAAAATAAAAAATCTGAAGTACAAAGCACTCATTTGATAACTTTACTAATAATCTAATTACCTGCAGTAGGGCAGGTACTGCCTCACACATAGAGGTGTGAGCACCTAGAAAATAGGCAATCAGGTACAAAAAAGTAGAACACAGCTTTTTCACAGTTCTGCTAGCTCTTCAGAACTAATGAGCAAAGAGAAGAGAAGGAAAAAGAAGAAGAACAAAGCTTTTGACAGTTCACGCTCTAAAAATACCACGGCAATAGACACGTTGAGTAGAAAAGCACTGTTTTCAATAGGAGAGCTGCACATCCTGGAAGCCAATCATAGAATTCACCAAATATTTCTTACTATATCCCCAAGGTATAGAATGTAAATATGCACTTCATGCATGCTGGCTTGCTCTTCCCTTTCATTAGTGGTTTTCAGTGAAAATCTTTTTTGAACACTTAGTTAGGACTAGACATGTGCCAGGCACTACCAAGGTGGCCAAACTAAGTGACTGAAGTTCACTGAGTCAACACATTGGTTAGTGTGAAGTGACACATGGAACCATTAGCTGAGGATAACAAAAAGCTTTGGAAGCAAACACTGCACATTCATGAGCAATCCAACGTGTTTGTTCCTTCCAAATGAGCAGGCTCACTATCCCTGTATCTATTCCCTTTTGCCAGAAGTCAAATGGCACACTCCAGGTGCACAGTGAAACAGCTGGGATTGGTAGAGATGGAAATCAAGCTTTTTATTTTGCTCACTTCTCTCTTAGAGCAGTCCCCTGGTCCTGATCACCATGCATCAGCACAAACAGAACTGATTACACAAGCGTTGTACGCCAAAGAGAGCAGCCAGGACTGCTCTGGGAGTGACAGCAGAGATTTATGCGCATAAAATAGACGGTATCACTATAATGGCAAGCAAGTATGAAACACAGTACCCCAGAAGTTTTCTCCCAGTGAGTTAGGCAAGCAAACAGGATAGGAGGGTTTTCTTCCTCTTTTTTCTTCTTCTTCTTTTTTTTTTTTTCCCTACCAGAAATAGCATTTTAAAGAATCTTAACAGCTATTATCGAAAACTGCACTCTCCAGGCAGGGCTTTTGGCAAATCAGCTGGTAATGAACAAGTGCATTGTAATGGTTTTTTCTCTAAGATTTAAAATGACTTAATTATTCACTTTTAATGCATAAAACCTGGCAGAGCTGTGCCCAATACTGATTTGGGAAATACAGGTTTCTGGTAAACACTCACCTTGCTCCTGACTAGACAATATTGATAGAGTCACAAATATTCATCTGATAATGGGCAGAAAAATACATTATAAAAGTCTAGCTGTCTATTAATACGACTGATGGATTTTGAAATTTAAGAGTTTAGAATATTTTTATACCAATCAATTTTGCTACAAGGTTCCATCCTACAGATACGAAACATGAGCAATTATGTAGAACTGACATATCAGTGCTCGGATACACTATGCTAAGAACAGTACAGTTAAAGGATACTATCTTTTATAAGTTCAATGCATTTCACCCTCAAAGTACAAAACATTCAAACCTCTATGTATGGACTACCAACTCAAAACAAAATTCAAATTTCAACACCTTCCACAGACTCAGGCACTGTAACAGAATTCAGAACTACAATAAAGTCTATCCACCAACTTATTTTTCTGTGATGATAACTGTACCATTCTGTCATCTCATCCAAAAAAAGTTGTTTCGTATCTCACATGACTCTTACTTAAGTCTGGCACTTTTCTCATGAAGCTCCTCCTTCAGCTCCAAATTTTCCTTATATGCCACCTGAGCTGTCAGCTCAGCCTGGTTTTTAGAAGCAGCAAGCACACACAGCTCTTCTTCTATCTCCTGGATTTGTCTTTGCAAAGACAGGAGGCGAGACATCAGTCTGGCATTGTTTTCCTTATAGCTTTCAGCTTCAGCCTTCAGCTCTTGAAAAGAAGCTTCTTTAGAGATCATGCTCGATCTGAGTTTAAGCAGCTATAGATAGAAAAGGAGAAAATTAGTGAAGAATAGTTTTCCCAGACTGAAATAACAGGACTGCATTACAAGCTTAGTAATGTGACAAGAAACACATTTCTATCACTACAAGAAAGAGTAGAGGGACACAACTTTACTTTCATATGACTAGGAAAAAGCAATGGAAGAGGTTAGCAAAAACAAAAGCTACTGTTGGGTAATACAATGCAACTTTTCAAGATTATATCTTACAGGAAGATAAGTTATTTACTAATTCAGAATTTAGGAAAAGTTTAACTTAAGTTCTGCTGCACAACCTTAACTCGTGTCTCCTATGTATGTTCAGTACAGCAAAGTTATTAACACTACAATTCCCGTTTTTGCCTGCTGCCTGCCTACTTCCAAATCTGGTGCTCAACTCAATTTAGAGCTTCAGGGAACTGTAATAGCAAAGTATCCTTCTGTATGAGTGTGGAGCCTTTTGGCGGCATGAGGCATATTCAGAGGCAAGTAAATTTTTGGAACAATGTGTGGCAGGCACCCTCTCCTCATCTTGCAAATAGTTATTTTTGGGTATGATAATCCAATTAAATGTAGCTGTATTTACACAGAAATAGCAACAGAGTCTTTTAAGGATAGGTAGAAGCAGGAAAATCACCCTCTTACAGGGATAATGTTAAAGCTTTCCAAGACCTCATGGAGTAGATTTTCCTCTCTCTTTTTGTTAAAAATACTATTTCCCATTGAACTATTTCTGTTAGAAGCTTCTCTAGGAGACCGCACTAGAGGGAGACTCATCAAGCAAACAAAATTTCCATATATTTTTGTCATTAGGGACAAGTAATTTAAAGTGGACTTTTTGTCACAAGAAGTGTTAAGGCACGTTTCATCTTTCCTGACAAGATGCAGTCTGAAGGGCTTCTGTCCTATCACATAAAATTAACAGGCAAATAATTTAGCCAAATGAATTGCGCTTGATGGTGAGTGACAGAACTTCTAAATTGTGGCAAGCATTTTAAGGTAAAAATACTTAAGACATTAAACTGCAATCCAGATCAGCGGGAAATTCACTTCTCTGTTGGAGTTTTCAGTATGACCCAAGATATTCAGAGAAATTTGAGAGGCTGGTGAGCCACCAGAACAGCAACTACCTTGGAAAAAAGGAGGTCCTGCTTCTCCTCTTTCCAGACACACATGCTGTCCTCTCCCTTTTTTGTTTGTCTGACTCCCCTACAAACAACTTAAATAACAACCGACAGAAAATAGTTCACTTTTTCTCTCACAGAGGAGAAAGAGAATCACAGAGCGAAGGCTGAGGCTGAGAAACCAGGTATGAGGATCACCCTTGCAACAGCAGCACAGCCTTCAATAAGCTTATGTTTCCTGTGCAAGAGCAGGTTTATCAGACACTCTGGAGCAGCACTGAGTTCAAGAAAAGCAGTTTGGCTTTTTCCTGGGTTCATGGGCTTGATTTTCACACTCCACGCTCCTCTTAGTGCTAGAAGAAGCACTTATATGGCTACAAGGTGAAAGAAGATTTGCAAAGTGATCTGGCTAAAAAGCAACTCAGAAAGAAAGGAATTATTTTTCAATTGCTTGGACACTACAGTGCACTGTAAAACTACACATCCATCTGTGCCGGCACAAGGGGTGGGGCAGTGCGGGGAAGGAAATGAGCAGCTGAAGGAACAATAGCACTGCTTTGCTTGGCAGCTGGACCAAGCTATGGTATCTTAGAGTGTTCATAACCTTAAAATTTCTCTGTGGTTCAACTCCCTATGTGATATTTTTTCATCTATCCATTGTCTTTGTGGTCAGTTCCAACAGCAGAAAAAGCAAGAATAATCCCATATCATGAGTTTTACAGAGCACTCAGCAGAACAAGGCTCTGACCTCAGCTGGGTCATGAAGGTCTTTATTAACAAGAGCATGAACAGCTGCTTTTTTGACTATGCTTTTGCAAGCACTGTCTTGAAAAATCTATAAATCAGTCAGATGTTCTGGCAATAAAGCCATTCAACATTTCCAGTAATAAATTCTTTGTATGAGAACATTAGATTCTTTATGGCTTATTTAAATTTAAGGCACCAGCTCTGGATAAATGTTAAATGAGGGGAACTCTGCAGTAACTTCAGGATCAACTGATCAAATTAAACCTCAGCCAACAGACACTTATGCCTGTAGTTTTGTATGTGAATTAATGTAAGCATTTCATGTCTTCTAAAGGCAAACTTTACTCCACTTTAAAACTGACCACTCCCCACATTGCTGACCTAAATCAAATGAATTTTAACCAGTTATATGTTAAAAAAATTAATTGTGGAAATAAGGCAATTCTAAAAATTATCCTTATCTAAAAAAAATCCTCTCTTGAGAAACACCATCTACACAGCAGGAAGAGTAAAAAAGTATGTTTATGTGTTCTTCAGTCTCTCTAGCTACAATCAACCTCATTAGCACAAACACAATTTCACTGGTGATGAAAGCAGAGCACATTTGGGGAGCTATAACTTGAATAAAAGGGAGACACGAGTAAAGATGAGCAGATAGGTCTTAACTCACCCGCAAGACAAGGAAATCTATCTGAACATTTATACAACCACTATTTAATTAATTTTAGGGTTTAATATAAACATATTGCACTTAGATGACAATAAAGAGCTACACCGCTTCAAATCTTCCAAATACAAACTTATAATTATTTCTTGATCACAGAAGGAAACAAAGTAAATATCACACAGATATTCTAAAACAAAAAACCTAAAAGTTCTGTAGCAAAAGCAAGTTTCGGACCTTCTGCAAGCTTTCTAGTCTCTACATAAGGAGACTGCAAAATATCCTTAGGTTTGAAAAAGGATTTGAAATTATTTTTAGATGTACCTCTGACTGGGCACAGTCATACTTCACTGAAAGTGCTGCGAGTTCACTTTGAGCAGTTTCAGCTGCAGCTCGATAGTGATTCATCTGCTCTCTAGTGATGGGAATATCCAAAAGAACGTGATCATGAGATTCCTGTGAAGACAACATGAATACAAAACCTTTAGACATCACATTTTTGGAACTTTTTTGCTTCCATGCTTTTTTGTTTGATTAAGCTGCTCCAGGGCATCACTCCAAATGTTGCAGAGTATTATTCCCAGAGTAACACACACTCACTCAAAAATAGGTTAAACAGTCACTTTTCTATGAGTAACCACCTTCATCTCCAAGCTCAGCCACCAAGACCAGTGCTAAAGAAAGTCCCCCCCAACAATCCCATGACCTCCCACTGTTTTCAGCTTTGGCTATTTCCAGCAGTTTCTATATATTTAGTAACATTCAAAAGGTGCCATTTCTACAAACTTATCCAGTTACTCTTTCAACCTCTATAAACCTTAATCCAAAGGGAGTCCTCAGGGGTCTCTTATGCAAAGAATCACTTTGGTTTTTAGACTTCAGTTATACTGCACATCCCCTCATTTTTCATTCAGAAGAAATGTTGAAAAAAAGCAATGACTATCCACCTTCACTGTGCCACTCAAGATTTTTCAGATTTATATCATATCTCACCTCCACAGCCTCTCTACCAGGCTGAAGAGCCCATGCCTACTCAGACACTTGTATCTGCTCCTGCAAGTCACTTTTTTGGCTTGCCATTTGCTTTTTTACTTCTAACCTTTCAAGGTTAGAGGTCCTTTTGAACTCCAGCACTTGGACACAACTTCAGCTTCCTGACTGATGCTTTCTCATCCCCAGCCATCACCATAATGACTACCTTTCAATCTTTTTCAAGTCCTGATTCCATGGCAAGCATTGCCTCTGTCTTTCTAGTAGAGTCTCCTTCACACCACTTGTACAACCCTTTTAGCTGTGCCCTTTAGATTCTATAGTAGGTTTTCTCCTTTTTGTGATGTTCTGCTCTTCTGCAATAGAGCAGGAATGTACTGGATTTCTTGGCCTTTATTACTTAAGCCTTTCAAGGTGAAAATTCAGACTTGAAGTATTGTTAGAGTTTCATTAGACAGAACTTTTTTCTTTTTTCAATCAATAGTAACTAAAACCAATGAAATGTAATATCTTCAGAACAGAATTAAGTTTAGGTTATGCTGGAAGCACACATGGCAGAGAACTGAACATGAGATTTCTGTGACAGCACTATCAGCTCTCACACAGGACTGAAACAAAACTGCAATCCTGGTGCATTTGTGTATGAATTACAAAATGCAAAACACCTCCAGATAAAGACTGGTTTTGGAAAATGGTATTGCAATGGAGACAAAGACATCTTCTCATCATGCTTTTCTCATCAGCATCAATTTCCAGGCTGAGATAAATAACAAATTCAGCCTCATTCCAAATAGGGAAAAAAAAACAAACCCGAAGGACTTTCCAAATATGTGGGCATCTATTAAAATAAGTATTTACCATGTAACACATAGAGAAATCCCTGAGGAATAAGGAAAAACTACTAGTTTAGACTGCAGCAGAAGATAAATCACCTTGCATTAGTTGCTATATCACCAGCTCTATTCTTTAATCTTTCTTCCTTGTGCTAGTTGACACTAGATTAGACCCACCAAGTTTAATTGCATTCATCTCCTTCAAAGACACTCAGCTGTGCTCTTCCACAAAGGAGTTGCCACTCTCATCAAGCCAGACTGACACATGCAGAAAACTCACAGCCACATAGAACACAGCACATAATCTTGGAGATAAAAGGGCTGCTAATTTTCTCCACACTTTATCACTGTTCCGAGGGAGTGAGGGAAAGCATGTGCCATCTCCTCACTGCTTTTGTCTTGCTTTTGCTTTACTCTGCTTGTTTCATATGTACAACCACATTAGAGCCTTTAAGGTAGAAGGCATTTTTCTCATTCTGTAATACACAAGGGCTGCAAAACCATGGATGGAGATTGCAAACAGTAACACTGGGTATGATGGTTATGTATGTTATTACATTTGTAGTACTGCATGAATGTAGGCTTTTCCTTTTCTTCTCTTAAAAAAAACACAACTTATGACTTCACAGAAAGAAGGATTACATCTCAAAATTGGTGAAATAAATACATTTCAGAGTATAGCTGAAGAAAATAAGCAAGAAAAACCAGTGTAACAGTTTAGAGCTGAAGCTTCCAGAATCTGTTTTTCATACAAATTAGATTTTTAAATGATGAGCACTTTTAAGATGCAACTACACATCCAGAAGGATTTACAAAAAGTTTAAATTAAGCCAGGTGCCAAAGTCAATGGGAATTACTGTTTGACTCATCTACAGTCTTAGTGAGATTTACAGAGGCAGAGGTCTGCATCCTCCAGGCCTTAGTAAATGTAACACTAATCATGGTGGCACCATGCTAGGAAAGTTGGTATTATCATCATATTTTAGCAGGAAACATGCATGCTATAAAATTAATCGTTTTCTATGTTTCTGTGGCTTACCATCAGCAAATCACAAGTCTGATCTTTAATCAGACCTATCAGACAACTCAGTTAAATTGGTATTAAGTGGGGTAAAATTTGTTAGGGATAAAATTTTTTGTGCAGATGTGGCACTTTTCTAACTGTGGAAAAAAAATCAGATTTTTAATGTTTCATGAGTATTTGTGTAATCTATACTGATTTTTGTTAGGAAAATATAATTAATGAAGTGTGAAAAGAATTAGAGAAAGTAGACAGAAGTAGTATTAATATATTAACACTCCATCAGCTCTAGTTAGCCTAGGTTTTGGGTGTTTCTCCCGCTCACATTATTAATTTTTTCATCTCTTTCCATTTATCTGCAAGAAAATGAAACTTTCATCTAAATTCATATGCTAAACAGAAGCTAAGCCTATATTTACAATACTTAAGAGCAGTATCTTCAGTTGAATCTTCGGTTTTATTAGTAATAGCTGATCTTTAGAAGATCAAAAATATAAGGAGATTTTTGCTATTATTGACCATTTTTGCTTTGACTTTTTTTACCAAACAACTGCCATTATCTCCCAGCCTTTAGTTGGAAAGCTTCATTTGATTCAGAAACAACACAACTACAACAACGTTTAGTAGTTTCACACCTATCGATGTACTTTGAAATCAGACAACAGTTAAAGTCACTCCCTCCCATTCTGCTTTTGGCAACTTCTCTTTTATTTCCTGTTGTATTTCCTATTTCAGTGCTGCCAAATGCCACTACCACTGCCATTGCCTGCACACAGCCCAGACCCCTTTCCCAAAGCATATAATTTTAAAAAACCTTTTTTGAAACAGAAAGCCCCCAGTAGGCATTTAAACACCCGTCACCACCCTGAGTTACTTGTCAATGCCCTGCCATAGACTGTACTCAGGGCAGGGATTTCTTCTTCCCATTCACAAAGCACCTATAGACATTGGGGTTGACATACCAAAAATGATGATTCATGAACCTTTGTTGACTTCATTCTTCCTTTGTTTCTACAGAACAAATGGGGGGAAGAGGGGGAAAAAAGTTGAAAATTAAATAGATTAGTAATATGATGGCACATGACATTATTTTTTCACTGATATGCTTTACTAAATTGTATCATAGGTTACTATCAGCAAAGTTGGGTGCAAAAGCAGAACACCATGGGAAAGTTTCTCTAGTAGCCTATGAGTTCTGATCGTCTCGACAATATTCAAGCACACATCTAACCAAAACAGGCACCTCCAAGTTAACTTGTCCAGGGTATATTCATCAGTTCAGCTACACAGGCAGTCTTCATGCAGTGATTGCTTCCTTTGCCACTGCTTTTCAGGTGCTCCAAGTTTTTATTTCACTTCTCCATTTGTCCTGCATCTCTTCTATACTGATATATTTTAAAAGGATCTGAGCAATAACACAGGATCTATCTTAAATGAAATACATCTTTTTTTCCCTCTCAGATGTTAAGGTAATCAGTGGGCCCTTTTTACTTTCATGTTTTTACAGGACTTGGTACAGTGGTTGGACTCAGTGGGCTGTTCGATGGTTTTCATAAATCCCAGTATCATAAATTTTCATATTCTGAAATCAAAATGAGATTTCCCAAATCTGCAATGTTTTTTAAGACAATGTGTATACATGCATAAAATTGTTATAACTTCCAAAAATACAATGTAGCAGCAGAGTTGATTATTATTATTATTATTATTGTTGTTGTTGTTAGTAGTAGTAGCAGTAGTAGTTGCAACCAGAAGGAAGATGACATCCAGCGTGAAATACCTGCAAGAATGGCTAGTTGAAAAATGTTCACACTTGGCTGCTTCAGATTTTTCTTGGTAGCCGCAGCCAGCCAGCATGCACATCATCTCAGAAAAGTACAACAGCTACACACAGCAACAAGCATAAGAAGGTTCAGACACTGTTCTACAGTGATTCAGATTTTGTTCACAGGTACAAAAACAGACTAAAATAATCACACATAACCGATGAGGTTTTAAAGGACTTCTGAGAACATAAAGTCCAACCTATGACCAAACACTACCATGTCAAACAGATCATGGCACTGTGTGTCACACAGTGTTTCCTTAAACACCTCCAGGGACAGTGACTCCACCACCTCCCTGGGCAGTCCATTCCAATGTCTAACCATCCTTTTTGCAAAGGAATTCCTCCTAATGCCCAACCTAAAACCTCTCCTGGCGGAGCTAAAGACTCTGTCCTCTTGTCCTGTCACTAGTTAGCTGGAATAGGCTGACTCCCTGACTGGAATCACTTCAGGGGGTGGGATAAAAATAGTTCACAAATTAACCATCTTGTATGTATATTTTGGTTCTTCTTTATAGATAATACTTTGCCCAATTTGCCTATCAGAGATCTCAAAATGTATTGATTAACATAAATCAAAATTTGCAAGTAATATTTCACAACTATTTCAGTTCTGTCACTTGCTCTTGCGCGTTATAAAGTGCCAGAAACACTCACATACTTTTGATCACTATCCACTCAGTAAAGTCCTATTTCCCCTTGCTGATTCCTTCTTGTAACTAGGCTCAACTCACTGCTTGCAGTACTTTTTTTTATTATTACTTGCCAGTGGATGAGATGCCTGGGTCCTAGAATCGCTGCAGGTGCCTCGGTGGTTGACGAAATAACGGGCTTCCACAAAAGGCGGGTGTCTCACGGGCGGCTTTATTTCCAAGGGTTCGTGAGAGGGAAAACGAGGTGAGGGACGAGGGGAACAACCACTTGGAAGGGAAGCCAGCTCCGAGAGCCCCCAACCAGGGGCGGGGCAGGGACTATAACTATAACTGGGAAGGAGGGTCAAGGTATGAAACATCCAACGAGGTGAGGGCTTGAGGGTAGAGTCAGGGAAGAGCGACAGGGCAACAGCCAACTGGGATGGAGGGAAGGGATGGCTTCGAGGGGAGAACCAACGGGGGTACAGAGAACTAAGAACTTTCCAGAACTGGGGGAAGGAGTACACAATGATGGACAGGAGCAAAGGGAAGGGATAACAAAAGACTGACAACCGGAGGAGGCGGGAAACTAAATGTCAGTTGCCTCCCAAGGCAGAGCAGAGGGGCCATCAGCCACACCCCCTCCCACAGGTGGAGTTTTTCTGCATTAGTGTAATGTTCCAGAAACATGTAAAACTAACTTAAGTGTTCTCAGCAGCTCAAATAAATTACCAAAGAGGTTTTCTAAATTCCTTTCAGAAGGGTGCTGCTCATCTCTATCCTCCTCCCTTTGCAGTAATCACTGAAAGGTATTACTGAAAAGATAAAAATCACCCCTGCTCTTCATTGGCCTCAAAGAGGCCAATTTCCAGCTTGATTAATAGGCCCAAATGAAATCTTCATTACAAGCAAAATTTTAGTACCCACTGCTACTACTATAAGAAGCAATCAAAGCATTTCCATCTTTTGTTTTTCTCTTAGGATAAGGTGACTTTGCATCTAAATATAATAGATGCACTTCATGCGATGAAAGACAGCAGTCATCTGAAGGCAATTAGAGAGATACATCACCTACTCTAAACATTACTTAACATGCTTTCTGGTTGACTTCATCCTTTGTCTGTGTGGACACATTAAGGAATTTGGAACTCCCCTGACATTTTCTCTCACAGCTTTTCCAAAATGATTAACAAGGAGCTGCTGTGTTTATTCCCTAAACAATAAAAAGGGTAATTGCTAAGACAAAATTAAGTACTTATGCAGGGATTTGCGCAAACAATTCATTCTACAGTTTTTATTTTATCAGTGCTAAGTAGAGTTAAATAACTTCTGTAACAGAACTACTTAAATGGTAGATTTAAAAAACAAACCATCATGCAATGACAACAGCTGCAATTTTCCTACAATACCTACTGTACTTCACAGTGAACAAAATGAAAATATTTAATAAATACCTGAGTATATTGGTATATACACAATTAAAAATTGATTAGTGCTGCAGTTCGATTTAGCAGTTGTAACTTCATTTTATAAACGTGTAATTTCTAGCATGTTTTTGAGTCTCAAAATCAACACTCACAAACTATTTGACTTCTGGTTGGTTAAAATGTGGAGCAGGTTGCTATCAACTCTGTCACTAAGCAGTGCTAGAAAAAGTTTGTAATTGAGTCATAACAGTTGTATTTAATACAATGGCAGTTGGTTTTTTCTACTACAGACTCCCAAAATCCCACACTTTTTGTCTCAGAACAATATAGCTTCATTACAAAACTGATGTTCAACTAAATAAACTGTTCACAGAAACAAATTGTTTATCCTTTGGAACACAAAATTTTTACGAGGTTCCTATTATGTGTTTAGGACAAGGGTTTGATCCTTCTAAGGAATATCCTCTAGTGTCTCCCTTAAATTCACATCAAAGCCAGCAAACCACTTTCAAAGGAGGAAGAGATGCAAAGAAGAAATTCTTAGATAACTATAAACTATAGAAATTCTTAGATAACTATAAATTCTTAGATAACTATAAATTCCTGCTCTGTGAAAGCTACTCCCTTCTGCAGCACTTAGTAAGGAAAATCTTTCTGGCCTTGAACTTGTACAGATAAGCTATAATGATCAGCTGAAGTTCATGGGGCTTCAATCGCACCACGCACGGACCACCGGGTACAGCCCTGCACCTGCAGGAGTTCTGTTTTGGGGTTGGGGTTTTTTGGTTGGTTTGGGGTTTTGGTTGGGGGTGTTTTTTAAATTTTTTTTCCTAGGGGCTGGGGGGGAGGTGTTTAAAGCCGAGATTAAGTTGAATGTTGCAAAGATGACTTGGTAAGGGGGGGTTACAGCCAGCCCCTGTCAGGCGCTACACCAACACCGACAGAAAGTGGGGTAGGAAGGAAGTATGTTTCCAAAATCCGGGCTTTATTCCCTAATAGGGGAACTGCCAAAAAAACCCGAGCCCTGACCAAACCAAACCAAGCCCCTCGGCCCTTTCTGCCTTGCCCCGTCCCTCGGTTACCGCGGTTCCGCCGCGCCGCTGCCCCGCCAGCCCCGGAGCCGCTCCCGGCCACAGCCGCGCCCCTGGCAACGCGTCCCGGGGAAGCACGAAGGGGGCCTGGCTAGGGAAGGGGGGACCGGCTCGGTGGCTGTAAGTCAGCAGTCCTCACAAGGGAAAGCTCACAGAAACGCCGGGGCTTGTTGGTTTTGTTTGTTTATTTTCACTTCAAATAAACATTTACCTGATATTTGCTCACGTTTCCCCTCCACAAGAAGTCAGAAAAGGCGAGCGGAGCAGATGGCACCTGAGCAGCGGCTCCTGTTACCCAGACAGGGTTTCCTTCTCCCCCCAGAACCTGCCAAAGGAGCACCCCTGCAAAAGCAGCCCTCCTTGATGGCCTCTAAACTGCCTCCAGCTGAAAGAACACCTCCTCCTCTTCCTCCTCGCCTTTCATCCAAATAAAGTGGATAAACACGGGAAGACAGGAACTGAAGGTTGCAGTAAAAGAAAGTTAGACCTGTGGGTGTATGGCAGCTGCACATCATTTTCTCTGAAGACCCGGTGAGCTTTAATCAGCCTCTGGGGACAGTGCCATTGCGCACCATTTCTGTACTCAAAAGTCAAAAAGTACTTTACCTTTCTCAGGAATGCTGACCTAATCACGTTTTCCAGAGAAGAAAATGAAGAAGCTAGGGATAGTACTGTTTTTTCTGCCCTTGTCCCTGTGTGCCTGCTACCATTTCACTGCTGTTGCCGAGGACACAGAAGCCCCTAACAGAGGGGGGATTTTTCCGGCGTGGATCGTGCTGCTCCAGGGTAACCTCATTCTGCAATCCCAATCTATTAAGTATTTTTGACAGGTTAGATTTTTACTGGGCAGTCTTACATAAACCCAGAGGAAATCTGGCATGTTTTACTATCCACTGCAAATTTGAACAAAAATATAATCCTAGATTTGTCCAGCATTCGACTACAGCCTAATCCGTCATACTACTGGAGTGGCATGCAGATGGAGGAGTAAATGCTTGTGAAACTGTGCTAACTTTCCTAAGCACACTTCCCCATCGCTGGTCCTGCAGTGCCACGGCTGGTTCAGGAGCTACACTTTAGCTGCTTCCACATCCTTGGTGATGTGGAGGGAGTGCTTATACAGCTGTATCTTACTGCAGATCTAGAAATTATTTGCCCTTAAAATAACACACTTTATTCTGGTGAACTCTAACAAGAGTAACAACAAAAGAGACAATAAATAAATAAATAAATAAATAAAGTATGAAGAAAAGTAGAAATGTCATGTAGCAGTCTAAAAAAGAACAGTTACAATACCCACTCTTCAAGCCATTTGACTGAGAAAAAACTACCTTATTACAAAATGCTCACAGTTTAAAATGCTTTACCCTTGTTTGCTAGTATTTAAAAGCAGAATTCTCAAAAGAATTTCATGTTTCTTTTTCCTTAACAGAGACAGGAAATAATTTAGGAAGGGTTACTTTGGGAGTTTTAATTATAAATAATTTCAAGGAGTCATTTTCATTAATCAAATTCTTCATGTTGTATTTCATAAAATATATGGAAAGGACGTTCTCAGCCTTTTTG